TCACTTGTCACTACAACATTGCACAGGGGAAAATCTAACTCCGGCAAAGCTACCCATAGTACACAACTCTAAAAGTTACAGGATGTGGGTCTGGTCCTGGCAGCCTGCATGGCTTCTTGCTGGTGACAAGATGAGTAAGTATATAACTTGATGAAAAAGCAAATGAAAAGAAAAGAATAGGGGATCTTATGGAGGAGGCTCTTATAAATGAACTGTCAGCTGAAAGAAAGTTAAGGGCAAATCTCCTGCTGTAAACGCACAGGTCTGGAGCTTCTAATAAAAATCAGTGCCCTGGAGGAATTAATTACATCAACATTACAGGAAGAATTCATGGAATTGCAAAACGTAGTGGCACAGACCAGCACGATCTGCTGTTGCAAAGGGGGAAACTGCAGGAGAGTCTTAGCAATTTTTGAGCTGATATGCAGGACATTGTAGTCACATAATAGCATTTCAGACACTCTAATGAATAATAGCATTTAGTGGTAATGACAAATGATATTGCACATACTTTGCAACTGAAGTCATTAAACTATATTTCTTCATTTATATGTGTGTGTGTGTGTGTGTGTGTGTAGACAAATGCATAAGCATTCAAATAAAATCTGATCTCTCTACCAAAAATGTTATAAGAAATATGAGAGAAATATAAACAATTTTACTTAGAAAATTAGATGATTTAGTTAATGGGTGATTAATCTATACTGAAATATGAAGTCAGTGGTCTGCAGACTGTAGGGAGCACAACAAAACTTTTTCTACTGAGAACAGAACTATATGTGCAGGCTGGAAGAAATTCCTGGCATGGCTTTATACCACCAGTTCCTGATTCATACATAAATGAGAAGGTGCTAGATGTTTTTAATTCAGCAGGAGAAAATGTTTCTTTAGCAACTTGTATGAAAGTAGATCCCAGTGGTGTGTACATTAAGACTTTTTCCTTAGAATTCCAAAGGAACTTGGAGTTTTTAGAAAATAATTTGTCCACTCAGATAATACTCTAGAACTTGCACAGCAAATGTCTCCTATGATAACCAGGATACCACATGGTCCATTGTGGCTAGGTTGTCTTTATGATTCTTGAGATTTGTTCAAATATCCACCAGAATGGGGAAGAAGTGGTCATAGTCTTAACCTATGTTTAGATTATGCTGATGTAAATTCATCTTGCAAGTGTTTTCTTCTTATTAAGAATATTTTCTTAAAATAAGATGTTATACTTATATCCAAACTACAGTAATTGATATTAGTTAATACTTTGCCTTAGAATTTTTTTAAAATAACAATAAGTATTAAGCAACACTTAGGAAGGGCCTAGAAAGGGCTGGCCATATTACCAATCTGTTGCTTAACAGTGACTGAATCATCTTTGACAGTGAGCCTGTTGGGTGAAGTGAGTGTGGTCTGATGGTGACTGACCTTGTGTCGGTCCCCTTGTCATGGTTGGATCACTGCCTAATTAAATGCAAACTCTCAGTGGCTCTCCCTCCCCACAGGGAGCAAGGATTATTTTAATGGTCTGCCCTCGAAGGTTACTGGATCCTATAGGATTCCAGGACTCTATGAGAGGGATATCGGCTGATCTGACTGGCGCTTCTGTCGAGGCTCTGGTTGATGGCTGGCTTGCAGCCGCTAACAGGGATGTTGACACTATTGCTCCTAAACACCCTCTGCGTTGCAGATTTTGGCCAGCACCCTGGTTTAACCAGCAGCTGTGAGCTATGAAGCAAAGTAGGAGAAGGCTAGAGTCCAAGTGCAGAAGAAACCTGACTGATTATAATAAAAAAACTGTCAGGATCACAACTAACCTTTACCTTACCAAGGTTAGGGCTGCCAGTCAAGATTACTTCACTGTCCAGATAAGCGAAGCTTCAAATCAGCAGGTGGAACTTTTCCATATAGTCCGCAATCTATCCGGAATTGGTCTCAGTGATAGGCCTCCTACTAGGATTTCATCTGACCAATTTCAGCATTTTTAAAATCTAAAGTGGAAGCCATCTGCTGAGAGCTCTCTCCTTTTTTGAACATGGTAGATTGAGCAGAGATGCCCAGCGCTCCACCTCGCCCAATGAGACTCGATCGCTTTCAGCCTGTGATGCCAGATATGGCATCAAAGCGCTTGACTGCTGTCGTGCCACCACCTCCTCCCTTGACCCTTGCCCAGCCTGGATAATCAAAGCAGCCAGGCCTATAACAACCAAATGGGCCATGGCAATAGTTAATGGGTCTCTCAAGGAGACACTCATTAGGCCCATTAGGAATAAACCAAGGAAAAGACAGAAAGAAAAGGAACTGTAAGCAAAATATATAAACTATCAACACAAGCTAAACAGGGTACACAAGGATTAAAAATGCAATGGCAATATGATTTGGATAAAGAAGTAATAGGTGAAGAATGGGATAAAATATGGATCAAAGAATTATGAAGAACATGTCAGTAAGGATAAAAGAAAATTGTTATAAAGTAATATGGAGTGGTTTTTAATGCCAGTTAAAATGAATATAATAGATAAAAGTGTATCAACATTATGTTGGAGGTGTAAAAAAGAGAAGGGGATGTATTTACATATGTGGTGGTTATGTGAAATAAGAAAGAATGGAATCAAATCTTTAAAGAAATAGTATCTGAAATAATTGGATTGAATATTCAAATGTCTACGTTAACTGCTTTATTGAATTTGAATTGTTATTGTATTGAATTGTTGAAAGAAAATAAGGATTTAATAGTAATAATGATTATCGCAACAAGATTAATTTTCGCAAGAAACTAGAAAAATGATAATCAATTTAGTTTAGAGGAATGGTACAGAGAATTATGGGATATGGCAATTAATGATAAACTGACATGTGATATGAAAATACCTGTAAGAAAAGGCCAATTGAAAAATAATGATTTTAAGAAAACATGGAATGTATTTTTGGAATATGTATTTCGGAGAGGGAAGGGGTATACACCAAGGGAAGAAACAATGAAATTTTGGAGAGAAAATGGATTGAATGAAGTTTAATGCTAGTCCTGAAGGTGATGGGGGCACTTGTGAAATTGTATCATATTATTTTTATTGGTTTTTATTGGTTTTTAAATAGTTCTTTGTGTGGTAGTAGGTTTATGTTGTATTAATTTAAAAAAAGGAATAAACCAAGTTTGGCGGCATATGACATTGACAATTATAGGCCTGTCGCCAATGTTTCTTTCCTTAGCAAAGTGGTAGAGAGGGCGGGGGCTGACCAGCTCCAGGCCCTTTTGGATGAAACCAGCACTCTGGATCCATTTCAGTTGGGCTTTAGGCCACACCATGGTATGGAAACAGCATTGGTTGCCCTGTTTGATGACCTGCTGATGGAGGCTGACAAAATGTATCTGTTGGTCCTTCTCGATATCTCAGCTGCCTTCGATACTGTAGAGCACGATATCCTCCTGGGGAGACTCTCCAAGCTGGGAATTGATGGTCTGGTGCTAGCCTGGCTCCGATCCTTCTTGGAGGACTGTCCCCAGAAAGCACAGTTTGGGGAGAGTGTATCAGCTCTGTGGAATCTTAATTGTGGGGTTCCGCAGGGCTTGTTTATCTTCCCAGTGCTGTTTAATATCTATATGAGGCTGCTGGGTCAGGTCATCAGGGGATGTGGGGCTTCATGTCATCAGTATGCTGATGACACCGAGCTCTACATCTCCTTTTCTTCAACAACAGTCAATTCCATTTTGTCCCTTCAGCGCTGTCTGGAGGCCTATTGAAATGGATCCAGGTGAATGGTCTGAGGCTGCCTGTTCATTTCAGCATTGATTTCAAAGTACTAATGATGACATATAAAGCTCTAAATAGTTTAGGACCTCTGGCAGAATGCCTCCTCCCACTTAGATCTACCTACCCAAATCACTCACTTTAGTCAAGATGGGCAGCTGAGGGGCCTAACACTAAGGGAGGCCCGGAAGAGAAAGAATAAGAAAGCAGGCCTTCTCGGCAGTGGTCCCTCGCCTCTGGAAAAATCTCCCCCCAGAATTTTTTCTGGCTCCCTCGCTGGGTCTTTTTAAGAGCCAACTCAAGACCTGGCTCTTTAGGCAGGGCTTCCCTCCTGTCAATACCTAATTTATTTGCTATCTTCAATTGTATTAATGTTGTTGTTTTATCTTATTTTATTATTCTTGAGTGTTGTTAGCCACCCAGAGTAGACGTCAGTCTAAATGGGCGGGATATAAATTAATGAATTAAATAAACAAATAAATAAATTCAGAACCATTTTTTAGAAAGCATTTCTGTGATAGTTTTCATGGCTTGTTAACACATGGTTGAGCACAGTTTAAAGTTCAGACTTTTCCCTCTTTGTGTCAATTTAATTTATGTAGCAGCATTAATCACTTACTCCAGAGATGTTTAATGCACTCTTTGTTAAAGAGTAAAAAACTGTGTTCTTCCATACCAATAAACTGCTGTTATTGGCCAGAAACATGTAACTAAATAATGTATAACAATATTTTTCTTCTCTATGGAAATAATCTTAGGCTTACACCCAACATAACATGAAAGCATTACTCCACCAGTGGTAGCACATTTGGTTGTGAAGCAACAAAACAACATCAAGTGTAATAGGATCGTAATGAGTAGTGAAATGTGCAACACCTTCCATAGTGGCTCATGCAAGTAAAATCAAAATATTGGATTTGACACATTTGCAAGGATGAAAATACAAGTTACATTCAATTTGAGCTAATGGAATGACAATGCTGAATATATATGCGGTATCTGGTGGGCACTTTGAAAAAATCTGGGAGCAGCATGCCATGTTTTTTCTTCAACGTCTTCCTTTTTCTTCACTCTTGTTTCTTAAAATTCGGCATTACAAGTACATATAAGTTAGAAAGTAATGGATTACTTTGAGCTGCTTTAAATTTGATTTTGACACTTATTTTAAAAAAGAAAACACAGATCTTGCTTCTCTATAAGACAATTTATTTGAATTGGGTGACATAACTTTAGTTCTAACTTTAAATATTTTCATAACAGTGACAATTTATACCAAATGACCTCACAGCTTGAATGCATGACATGGAATCAAATGAACTTGGGATCCACTCTTAAGGGGTAAGGCTTTTGTTTCAACATATCAATCTTGTACTGTAGAATTATGAAACCATTTTATTAAAAAAATTACAGAATTAATATGAAAACTGTTATCAAAATATTAAGTTATTTAGGATGTGGATATTTTGTCATTGAGCATATGGGGCATTTTTTAAATCTTGAAGGACACAGTATCAGTGTTAGTTTCAGTAGTTGCTAATGATGATCAGGTAAATATTCTTCAAAAATGTGAGCATAAGATGTGAGATGAACCATTAAAATGATTTTCAGAGAGCAATGTTTTCTAACTTGTAACTAATTTTTCCTTTAAGTAATGTCTTTTCAGAGCACAGTGTATGTGTGAATCACATTCATTTTGCAATGTTTGAATATTGTGTGAATCTGAACAGGTGTATCATGAGTGCTTGTAATAATTCTTTCACTTACAGTAGTTTACTCCTTCTAATTTCAAATGCCCATTGATATTCATTACAGCCTTAATGTACATCTAATAAAAACGTTCTGTTAAATTCAGTGGGATTGGGACTGCTGGTGGCAATCCAGCAGTGATTTGGGATATTAGGTGTTCCCCTGTGTCCCGAGGTTCCCAAAGTTAACCCCAGATCAAAGAGTAGCCCTAGAGAGCCTTGTAATATGAAGGGGGTGGGGTGGGAGAAAAAAAATCAATTCATTTTAATATCACCATGTCATACAATTTGTGTGGAGTAAAGTTGCATAAGAGGATTTCTTTAATGATACATTTGCGGATGTCACTGTTGGTGTCATAGGATGTCACTCTGGGTTCTTTCCACAGTTTAGATGCTTGTCAGGTTCTGTGGCACATCCTTGTGTTCTCTGGAGAACAGGATTCTAATGCCAGGGAGAGAGAATTAAAGGGTGTGTGTGTGTAAGGAACAAATATAGTTCCTACCTTTCCCCCTCTTACTGCTCATTGAACCTTTTTGTTAAATTCCATTCCATTCCATTCTATTAATTCCTAGCACACTAGAAGATAGCACACTAGTCCAACCAATCTTCTTAAAAGCATCTAAAATCAACTACATTCTGGAGCCTGGAGGGACATTATTAATTCTGGAATGCTTTTAATATCCCCTAGCTCAAAAAAGAGCAAATGAACACAAATAAAAAACTCTGGGTTCTTTCCACAGTTCATCTTGACTGTAACACTTCCAAAGTCTACACCTTTCCTTTTCTTCATCCCTTCCAAAATTTCTTATTTTAATCTTCCGCTCATTTCTTTGTACTCTTTCATTACCTCGCATTCAAATGGGCCCTGCATCCTTTGTCATTAGTTTTCCTCTGTCCCTCCCATTTTCCTTTGCATCCTCCCTACAAACTGTTGTTCTCTCCCACCTGACAGAAGCAGGCTCCAGACCAATTACTACTTGTCCTGAAATGGTTTCCTGTTATCCTGGAAGACCTTTTTGAAAGAGCCACATGTTTCCAAAGATGTTGTTTGATGAGGCTGCAGAGAGGATATGGGGCTGTCATGGATACTGTCCTCTTTTCTTTCCCGAATCTTGGACAGATTAGGAAGATGTAAGTCATTGCAAGTATGGCTTTTAGAGGAAAGTCCATAGAATTTAGTACTGGCTAGCATGTTTAGACAGACCAGAACCATAGGACTGTGTGTGTGAAGTACTGTATGCTTATTTGCACAACACATTTATCTACATTGATTTGAAATCTAAATTAAAGAAAATGGATGCTGAGGGGGAAAAAGAGAATGGCTTGCTATGACTAGCTGGATTGTTCTGGAAGAAATGGGTGTGCCACAAAATTTTGTTGTCCTTATGAGTAACTTGTCAACAAAAAGGCTACTATTGGTCCAAAATATGGATAAACAGAACTGTTTCCCATTGAAAAGGTCTCAGATAAATGTATGTTTTCTTTTCCTGTCTGTTCAGTTCATATGTGGAACATATCCTATGAAAAACTGGATTACATTCAGATGGTGAAGTGAACACTGGTGGATGAGACAGACATACATATTTTAAGATGCATAGATGACACAATATTGTAGTGGCAGGAAGCAAAAATGTATTCCTGTACACTCTCTCTCTCTCTCTCTCTCTCTCTCTCTCACACACACACACACACACACACACACACTTTTTTGGAGGGGATAGGTCAAATTCTCTGTTGAGCAACAGTTTTTATTTTTTAATGTGAAAGCAGTGGCTACAGAAGTTTTCAAAAGGAGAACAGCATGGTACACTGCACTGTATATGCTGCTTCATCAGGGCAAAGAAATTAACATTCATCATCACAGACAAAAGTTGACGCTAAACAAAATGTTGCCATGTGGACAACTCCTGTTTATGGCTGCAGTCAGTTAGCCATGCCTATTTCAGGACACTGCATACTATTCTCTTCTTTCCAGCTACACATTTCCATTTTTCTTCGTAGTAGGCAGAATTATGTGGCTAATGACTAAGCACACTCAATCCTCATTTAGCTATTTTTCTTTTCTTACCCCTTAGCTTTTTTTCTTTATATCTGTGTATGCATGCATGCTCCCATGTGTCTATGTGACCTTTAGTCTGTTGGCACAATCTCCTTGCATATAGACGGTGCCATTTTAGAACTAAAACACCAGAAGTACAGTAATGGGAATGATTCCATGCAAAATGGTACTAAGAAGACTGACAATTGAAAGACATGGATATTTCTGGAATATGTTTTGCAACCCAGTGAGGATGATTAGAAACAAATGAAGCATTTTCATACAGATTGGTTTACAGAACTGAAACTAAATTCTTAGGACATAGCAAATGTTTATATGCAGTATGGATCAAACAGATTGGGAAAATAGCATGTTACTTACATAAGTTTCTTGGATTTTCAAGCTGCTGCCCAGGGCAGGGGTGGACCACTTTTGAGGGCCAGGGGAAAAACCAACTAAAAGTTGCAACCCCTCTCCCCCAATACTGTTAAATTTGCAGTCAAACTTGTGCATTGTGGTGGTGGGATTAAGTTCCCTGAACACTTTGCTGCATTTTGTTTTGTTTTGCCATGAACACTGTGGTGAAGGAGTTCAATTATCCCAAAGGGACAATTAAGTCATAAAATTGAAGGGGTGGTGGTCGTGTCTGCAGCCTGTGAGATGCATGTTCCCCTGTTCTGGTCCCAGAGGGTGTTACTGCATAATCCATATTGCATGTTTGCTGACTTGGCTTTCCACTCTTAACATCTTATTTAAACATTATAACTTAAATTGCAAATCATTCTGTCAGGACAATGCCTATGCTAAAAAGCCAGCAGTAAAGTGGTGAGAACTGAGGTCATTCGTGGTGCTTTAGAAATCTGACATGGAATTGAGAGGAAAGGTGGGGGAATGTAGTGACGAATCCCCCAGTTCAGCAACAATCAATAATAAAACCTGATGTTCATTGTTTTCCATTCCAAAATGCCATGTTTTTAAAGGCTGTTTCTGACTCTGTCCTTCATTAACTGAAGCTTCCTCTTTAAATGATATGTTTAAATGTAACATTCTTTGCAATATTAGACACTATTTTGTATCTTCTGGACAAAATATCCTGCAAAACGATGAAACACATCAACTTTGACAGAGACCCAATAAATCAAAGAGAGGAAGAGATTATTCTTTAGGGATCCAAATGAAAAGGGGGGTTTCTCCTGGATTAAATAGAAATATTAAAAGTGGAATGGAGAAAACAAATGTTCTTCAGGGCATCCATAAGCACTGATTGTTCACAGTGATCTGACTTGGGGTAGTTAGAAGGTAAAACCAAAGAGGAGATGAATTCAAGATGAATGACCTATGGTAAAGCAAATTGAAAATGTTTTTAGTAGAAGCCAGGATTGTAGAATCTGTGGAAAATCAGAGCTAGCTAGACATAGTCTCATCACTGGTAATATGAGCCAAAATAGTTATCTGTCTTCTCTGGCTGGGAAAGTTACAGTACACAGTGCCATAGACTCTAGCTGCTGTGATCATAAGATACTTTTCCTAAGATTTACGTCTCTAAAATTCATGAAGTGTTCATAAAGAATTCCCAGGGGTTTAGTGTTTCAGATACTTTCCTACTCCTTGGAAGTATTTCATGAACATTGGCATCTTGCTTTACACAGAAATGAGTAGCTTTATTTTTCTCCAGAGATGGCAATTCTTATATACTAGCTGTTCACTTTCTCCCTTCCTCCTTTGAAAATGTAGAAAAGACTTGTTGAGTGTCAGACTCTAAAGTACCTCCTGTGGTTGTATGCTGTGGTTCTATGCTTCTAGAAATAGATATTAGAAGGGCATAGAATGCTAGGGTTAGTGCTGACACACTGATGGTAAACCAAGGGGGTAAAATCAATTTGTTAACATCAAACCATTGAGAGGTTCATAAAATTAATTCATCAAGTTAATTGTTATTAACATGTTACGAACAAAATCATAAAACTAGGGCCAATATCCTTTTGCTAATTCCAACTAAGAATTGATTCAATGAATCAGTTCCTGAGTGGCAAGTTAATTCTTATGTAAATCTCATTGGATGAAAGGTCTACTGCTCTAGCTGGAGCTAGTAATAGGATACTGGCCTACTGAAATTACTAAATATGGCAAAAAATGACCAACCCTCCTTGTTCCTCATGAAAAATTAAATGAACGTGGAAAAACATTGTTATTTAAATTTTTATATTAATGATATTTAGTCATTAAACCAATGACTTTTATAAGCATTCTTGAAAATGTTGATGAATTAGAGGAAATGAATTAATTTTTAAATTCTGGTGTGAACAAATGCAATTTTATTACTTTTTAGAATTCCATCCTGGTGTAATATAGAATATATGTAACTATCAGCAGAGTTTCAAAGTCAAGAGTTCATAACATAGAAAATACAAGGGTTTTACAGATCAATTCATCAATGTGTCTCACACTTCTTCTCTGTGGCCAAAATCCTGTTACATACTTACACTTGCAAAAGGCAAATGTTATACTTGCCGTGGCTCCTTGCTGGTACTTAACTAATTCTTTCTTCAATTTTCAGGCATATATGTGTTCTGGAAATCCAAGTGGGGGCTCATTAATTAGTAGCAATAAGTTGCCATGAGTTATGTTGTTAATCTTCTGCAGGCATAACTCAGCATCAAGGTTTTGGCCAATATGTCAATCTGAAATGCCACACTTATTTACAGTAACATTCATAGAATGGCACACATGATTTTGGGTTCACAACATGACTTAAAGTATATATAATTTTGCCAGCTTGTCTTTGATGATAATTATTACCTTTTCCTATGGTATAGTAACTTGATACTACTGATATGACTACTTCCATTCATCTGCTAATTTTTACATGGTCATGACATAAATCAAATTTTTGGCAGGTCAGCATTACCCAAATGTTACTATTATGTCTAAAATAAAATAATTTTTAGATTACAATAAATGTAGCACTGCCTCAGTGTAACTGAAGTCTGAAGCAAACTGCACTATCCAAACTACTTTTTAATTCCTTCTGAGTTAAATATATATCAATTACATGTAACAAGAACTTTTTGAGCTGATAGTCTGCAGATTCAAAATTGACTTCAGGATGGGGAACTTGTGGCCCTCCAGGTCTTTTGATGTCCGTTTCCAGCAGTCTCAGCATACCTGATGGAGTTTGACGGGTTGTCTGAGTTACAGTCTAAAACAGCTACGGGAAGAAAGTTTGTCCAACCTTTTTTTTACAACTTGCTAGTTTATGGTTAAAAATAATGATGTGCAGTCAAGTCAATTCTGACTTATGGCTACCCTTTCCAGAGCTTGCTAGCTAGAGTATACTCAGGAGTGCCCTCCATTTGCATAATCCTTGAGCATTTGTGGGGGCATCAGTAGGTGAAGGCTGCAAGAGGAAGAATAAAGCAAAATGTCTTCTTTTTCTACTGTAGAGGGTCTGCTCTATGGACAGGTGAAAAGACTGATCCCTCCTACTTAAAAACCTCAGCAAATGCCAGATACTTGCCATAGTGATATATTCCTGAACACCATTAGATTGATATTTTTGATTCAAAATCATAAATGCAGTGCCAAAATTTAAAGAATCACTGCAACAAGCAATGGCTTGGACACTAGGATGTAGAGGAACAACCTCAATGGCATTTCTCCACCCCACTGCATAACCCTTCCAAAAGTTTCTCTTAACATTGAGAGATAGAATGCCCCAGGGAGGGTACAGAATGGCAATAATAATAGGGCATGAAAGGCAACAAGAGTCAGAATTGGATGGAACTGCAGCAGACATTTGCTTGAGCTGAAATGCATTCTTCTTTCAAGGGAAAATATTTGGATAGAGCTAAACAATTGGATGCAATTCAGCAAATAATTTAGCATGCTTAAGAATATTGAAAGCAATAGGCTTAAGTATACCTAATCTTTTTTGGATTACAGACTGGGACTGACCTTGGCAAATGAAACTGCGGCAGCAAATAACCTTTTACAAAAATATATATGTAAAGAATTTTCCAGTCCCTCTGCTTTATAGCAATGTTATTTCCACATATATAAGTGGTATATATATTTCAGTGTGTGATGACAACTTTTAAAAAGAATTGTTCACAGTAAACTTCTTTGCAGTTTTTTTCTACAATGAAAGTAGCATATTTCCTGTGCTTTCACATTTTTTTGGCTGTTTCTGGTTGCTAAAACTCCAATTTCTTGTTTGAAATACTATTAAGTTGCAGCTTAATGTGATGTCTGTGTAATCTCCCTCACCTCCAATTATTTAAAAAACATCCAAGAGTGATGATGATGAATCACAGTGTACATGTTTCACTCTAATGTTTGCAAATTTGTTTCAATGTTCCCTTAAAAAAAAAAAAGCTTAGAACATCATTATTAATTTAGAACTGTGGTTGGTGAGTCATATAAACAATGCCAATGCAAAAAGAAATTAAGATTTTATAAGAAATCAACTGGAGAGTTCATAGTTTAGTTGAGAATGTAGTATGTGTAATCCTCTTTAAGCTGTTTTGATATAATTATTCAGAACTGTTTTGTATTCCAAGATACATTTTATTCTGTAAGATCAACATTTTTCCTGTCCTTATAAAATATATAATACTATGGTTAACTATCTTCTAACCCAGTATTATGTATTTCCTGAAACTTCAGGCAGGTAAATAGACAGTGCTGGCTTAACATGCCTGAGTATGTGGGTGTCCCCCCCCCCCCAATTTCTGTGTTGTCTTCCAGTCCTTGACATAATGTATCCAAGTTGTTTGAATTGTCAGCTCAAATTCCTTCACACTCCATGCATAATTCCATTAATTTGTACAAAGGCACAGGAATGTTTTTGTATGTAGAAAAGGGTAGCTCTCGTGGATAGTGCCATGCACCTTAGTTTATTTTTAAACTGTCAAACACTGATAGTATCTACAGTTTCTTAATGGTTTGCAGATCGCAGGTTGTCCCTTTGAATTATGCCAATTTCCCGGCTCCCCATTGTAAGTGATGATAATGGTCAAAAGTCAGGAATTATGAGAATTCTGCATAATACATGGGTAGCACATACTTTATTTTCTGTAAGAATTACGTTTCTAGGGAATTGACAAGAGCTCAGTTTTGCTGGAAAGTAATGTTTCACTTCTCCATGTGTAATTTTCCACAATAGAATCAAGGAGGTTTTACAGTTAGAGAAGATTGCAGTCTGTGTTGGATTTGGGGTGTGTGAATGTTGCTTCTCCCATATTAGGTTTAGTTCAAATTTGTTTTCAGTGAAGATATTGCTGTGTTTGTCCCTTTCTTTGTCCATAATTAAATCAGTTGATACTGGAGCTATGCTAAATCCAGTACCATGTCACAAGTACCTTTTACAAATCTCATGGAGATTATGTTTTGTAGCATGTTGGAACCATGAGTCTTGCTAACTGGAAGTATAAATAAGGTCAGTTTTAACAAAGATAGCAAAATAAATCCAGAGTTTATCCCCATGGCATCTAGAAATGTGCTTTAGAAGCCCTAATTCCTTAGAGGCTGTCTCCCACTAACAAGTTACTTCAGATTATTTTAAAAACACACACAACAAAATCTCCGAACCTCTAGTTGAAGATGAACTCTCTACGTCCCCCAGACAATACTGCTGTCTCTTTGAATGCACTGCTAGAATGATTGAACATGTTTTAATTTAATAAAATTTGTATTTGTCTCACTGATGTTAATAATTCTGTAAACAAGTGTCTTATCATGAGGAATAAACTAACTTGATGTAGTAATCCTAAATATACTTACTCATAAAGAGACTCTATTGAACACAACTGGACGTGTTTTAGAGAAAACAAGCAGAGGATTACTCTGTACATCTACAGGCTTCTGCACAGTTAATTGGGAGTAAGTTCCTTTGAATCCTGTAAGATTTCATATCAGGATGCAGACTCAGATCTATGTGTGAGCATGGATGGTTTACTGCAGGGCAGGTAATTCATTTATATTTTTCTTGCACAACTTTAAAGTGGAGTTCCACCCTCCCCCCGGGTAAGAATAAAGTGTTTCTTCAGTTTTAATTCACATGAATATACAGTATATGCCTCATCTATTCAAAGTCTGAGAAAAAGGGATTTATGTACAGGGAAAGTTATATATTAAAAGTATTTGTTATTGAGGTATATTGATTTCTAGCCTTGAGTTTTAAGCCCTAACATACTTCAGTGGAATTCTTAATTCTCTGCAAGCAATAAAGATCTTTCTAATTTCTACGAGCAAGCATTTTCCTGTTTGTTGACTTTATGAAAGGTTAAGCTATAGTACATCCTCCAGGTTGATGTGTGGGTTAAATATGTTAGGACACAGATTTGTAATCCTATCCTGTGGCTGTGCCACAACTGTTCTTGTAAATGTCATCACTTTCTCAGTCCTATCTGGTTATATCTGAGTCATGAGGTGCTGACAAAAACTCACTGCACTTAATGTGAAACCTGAGGCATTTTGCTCATTCCAAAGTTATTAGCAATAGCCGACTTGGTATTTAAGTGATAAATAACTAGCATGTAAGTACAGCAGTAACTTTTGTTATTCTGTTTCCTCCCCATAGTTACTATTTTCTCACTAATCACATTTTAAATAGAAACTAGACAAATTTTATTCCCCCCACCCCTCACCCAAGTTCCACTCAATGTTTGATCAATGCAATGGTTGTAACATCAAAGGATGCATCATTGCAAATAATTTTGCTCCTGAGATATGGAAACCAAAATTGATTTAATTCCTACATTTGGCCACTTTTCTTTTTCCAGCCACACAACAGGATATGAAAGTGATAATCATGCTGGTCCTATGTTATACAGCTGTGGGGCCCAATATAGAATACACACGCATGGAGTTTTTAGAGGAATACAGGTAAGTTGATGGCGGGGTATGTGTGAGAATATGCAATTTTAAAATTGATAACTTTGTTGATGTGAATAGCTGATGTTCTTAAATTCTTCAGTATCAAGCAACAAATCCCAAAGAAAAGCTGTCTTATTCCTTGGAAGAACAATATAAAGTTGTTGTCCGATAGAAAAGAAATAAACAAAAGGAAACCAGATATTCTATTAGAATATATCTGAGGCTAAATAGCTAATGGGCTACAAAATGTCTTTCAATCAGGCGACTTCAAGTGATTTTTTTTACTGTCCCGAGTCTTCTGATGACATGACTTAGCAACTGAATGCTTGAATATCTAGTTTTACAGAATGTGAATAAAGTACAGCTTGTTCTGTAGAACTCTAAAAGAAATACATAAAAAGATCCAGATCTATTTTAGTACATAGGGATGGCGATGCCTAAGCTAACCTTATAGTGTCAGTTCTTGCATGTGCAATTGTTGTGCAAGTAATCTAGTTGGTCCAATAATATATCACATTCAAAATATCCTTATGTTTTGTGCCATTATAGGATGTACGACGAGTGCCTGGGGTAGCACCTACAATTGTCAGATCAGCAAGTGAGACGAATGAGAAACGGCCTTTCATGTGTGTATATCCTGGCTGTAACAAGCGATATTTTAAGCTGTCTCATCTGCAGATGCATGGTAGAAAGCACACCGGTAAGACTCTTCATTGACCACAAAATGTTCCCCACCTGATGCTGTATCATGGTACCCTTTTTCTAGTATTGGAACCTTGCATAGATTTCCCAGTGAGAGGTCCAGCCTTTTGAACTAGAGAGATCAATGTAATTCTTCACTTGTGTGATGTTTTGCAAGGAAGGTACATGATTCATTTGTCAAGTATAATATAAGAGCAGAAAAAGCTTTCTAAGGGCTAATTTTCAGACATGTAGCTTTGTTACCCCCTTCATGGATTGCTGCCTTGCTGTGGCGAAGGGGCTTGAGCAATTCAGAGAAGCTATGGGCTATGCCGTGCAGCATACCCAAGACGGACAGGTCATAGTGGAGAGTTCTGGCTAAACGCAATGTAACTGGAGGATGAACTGGCAAGCCACTCCAGTATCTTTGCCAAGAAAACCCTATGAGCAGAAACAAAAGCTAAAAGATATGATGTTGGAAGGTGAACTCCTCAGGTGGGAAGGCATCCAACATGCTATTGAGGAAGAGAGGAGGACAAGGACAAGTATCTCCAGGGCTAATGAAGTGGTTGGGCCAAAGCTGAAAGGACGCTCAGCTATGGATGCGCCTGGAAGTGAAAGGAAAGTCTGATGCTGCAAAGAAAAATACTGCATAGGAACCTGGAATGTAAGATCTATGAACCTTGGTAAGCTGGATGTGGTCAAACAGGAGATGACAAGAATAAACATTGACATCCTGGGTGTCAGTGAATTAAAATGGATGGGAATGGGTGAATTCAATTCAGATAATTGCCATATCTACTATTGTAGGCAAGAATCCTGTACAGTGGAGTCTCGAATTACAGTCGGCTCCACTTATGTACTTTTCGACCTACGAACTTCTCCGGCTGCAAGTCGAAGTTAAATTTTGCGGCCAGAGAAGGTCGTAGGTCGAAAAGTACGCTTTCTACGCCTCCTCCTTCCAGTCCGTAGGCTGTAGGTCGTGCCTCAGGATGCCTTCCAGGGCTGCTCCGCTGCCATGGGAGGCATCTGAGAGCCCCCCCCACTGCTGATAGTGCTTCGGAGCCACTATTGGCGGCAGTGGGGGGACCTCTGGATGCGTTTGGATGTCCCCCGCTGCCGCCACTGCTGGGAGCCGAGGCATGCCGGGTGATCCCAGCCATGCTCAGACTCCTGGACTGTCCAGGAGTCCGAGCATGGCTGGGATCACCTGGCGCAGCTCGGCTCCCTGCAGCGGCGGCGGCAGGGGGAAACTCTGGATGCCTTCCAGAGAAGCCTTGGAAGGCAACTGGACGTCCCCTGCCACTGCTGCTGCTGCTGGGAGCCTTTGGAGCTCTCAAAGGACTTTCCGCCCGACATCGGAGGAAGCCGTTTGAGACCTCCAAAAACAAAAAGGCAGGGAGAAAGCACTATGGGTGGCGACGGGGGACCTCCAAGAGGCCTCCCATGGCGGCGGGGAAGGCCTCTGGAGGTTCCCCCCCACCAACGTAGGCTTTCCCAGGGTGGACCGGGCCTACCAGGGGAGGGCTTTCCCCGGTAGGCCCTGTGTAGTGCCAGGAAAGCTTGGTAGACCACGCCGAAGCCCTTGGAGTCCTCCAGCAGCAGCGATGGCAGCGGTGGGGGAGCTTTGAGAGGCCTCTGGCAGCCGCACCAAAGCCCTCGGAGTCCTCCAGCAGTGGCGATGGCGGCGGTGGGCGAGCTCCAAGAGGCCTCTGGCAGTGGCGCTGAAGGCCTTGGAGTCCTCCAGCAATGGTGATGGTGGCAGCGGGGAAACCCCTGGAAGGCTTCAGAAAGGTAAGGTTTTATTTTTAAATTTTTATTTTAATTTTGTTTGTGTGTGTGGGTTCTTGGGTGGGTTATGGATTAAATGGGTTTCAATGCATTCCTATGGGGAATGCATTTTCAACCTGCATACTTTTTGACCTACAGACTCCGTTCTAATATGGATTAATTCCGTAGGTCGAGACCTCACTGTAGAAGAAATGGAGTAGCCCTCATAGTCAACAAAAAAGAGTGGGAAAAACTGTACTGGGATACAATCTCAAAAATGATAGAATGATTTCATTGCGAATCCAAGGCAACTTTTAACATTACAGTAATCCAAGTTTATGCACCAACCACCAATGCTGAAGAGACTGAAATTGATCAGTTCTATGAAGATGTACAACACCTTCTAGAACTGATGCCAAAGAATGATGTTCTTGTCATTATAGGGGATTGGAATGCTAAAGTAGGGAGTCAAGAGATAAAAGGAATAACCTGTAAGGTTGGCCTTGGAGTTCAAAATGAAGCAGGGCAAAAGCTAATAGAGTTTAGTCAAGAGAACAAGCTGGTCATCACAAACACCCTTTTCCAACAACACAAGAGGTGACTCTACACATGGAAATCACCAGATGGGCAATACCAAAATCAGATTGATTATATTCT